AAACCTAAGGATACTGATAATTGGGTTTTGTTTAAACAAAGTTAAGAAAATTCCACAACAGATTATTTTAAAAAAATGAAGTGGTTGAGCCAGAGGGCCTCCAAGGCATGCCCTGTGACTTGCCTACAATCTACGCCAACATGTCTCCCCAAGCTCAGGAAGAGCCCCAAATTCCCAGTCTTTCCTCTTGGGCTCAGGTTGCTAACAAGGGTCCATGGCCCCGCTCCTGCCTGGTGACCCTCCCTAAGCGGTAGCAGGAAAACGAGTATCAAGTGCTGAACCCCGTGGTCTCCTCCGCTGCCCCCCGCGTGGGGTCCCCAGGGAAAGGCAGGAGGGGAGTACCAGGGGAGTTCACAGGTCTCAGCCCAGCTCCCATACATTAACAGAATGAGCACCCACTGTGTGCAGAGAGCCCAATCAGATAATGATAACAGCTAACGTGTACACCGCATTTAAAGGCTTGCAAAGTGCTTTCCAAACATTACCTCATTTTATCCTCATAACACGGGGGGAGGAGCGCTGTTAACACCCCCATTCTACAGAAGAGGCGCCGTAAGACGTCGAACAAACTGGTGCCTACAGCGTACTCAATTCTCTCCTAGGGGCCCTGGCAGCAGGGCAGGCCTCGGGCAGGTCAGACCCCACCCTGGCCCTCCCTAGGGACGCGAGTGTCCCAACTCGCCAGCACATCTCCAGCCTGCCCTGCCGTCGCAGGGGATGGCACAGTGCCCACACACAGACCAGCGAAGCCACCGGCCTTCTGACCGCAGCCTCCGCAGCACCCCCCTACAGCCCAGCACGGCGCTGACTTAACCGTCTCCTCCCCCCCCCCGGTGCTCCGGCCTCTCCCAACCTCTCGTGGGCCCAGCACACAGGCAGGCGGCCCTGTTCAGCTCCTGAACATCCCCGGAGGACGGGACTCCGAGCTCGGCGGGGCGCTCAGAGCCCGGCCGGCCATCAGAGACGCCCAGGTCATCCACCGCCCGCCCCCCGAGGCCGCAAAACGCGCGCACAGGCACTGCAGGAGGCGGTGCTAGGCGGGCCCCGGCCCCGGCCCCCGGCCCGGCTGCAGCCGAGCATCCCGGGGGGGGGGGAAGGGCTCCATCCTGAGCCACCATGACCAACGACCGCCAGAAAAGCGGCTGAGCCCGGGGGGGCTCGGAGCTAACAGCGCCCCACACCCACGTGCTCTCCCACCACTGCCCCAGCAGCCCCCGAAGCCACCCCGCCCGCCCCCCCGACAGCTGCCCTAGCGGCCCTGGCAGACGCCTCCATCAAACGCCCCTGCAGCCATCTCCGCCGAGACCGGGAGGTGCCTCTGACAACTGCCTCAGCAGCCCCAGCAGCCACTCCCGAAGACCCGGATGGAAAGTCCCCCCCACCCCCGACCTCGGCACAGGCAAACGCTTCGGCGTCAAACACAGCCACGTTTTCTCCACAGAAATAGCGTCAAGGAGGACTCATTACCCTCTGCGCTGCCGCCGCCGCCGCTGCCGCTGCCCAAGGCCGCAGGGGGCCCGTCCATCCGCCCGGCCGACGACGGTAACCGCAGCCAACGCCGCTCTGACCCAGGCACCCAAGCCGACCGTTTGTTGTGTTTTTTTTTGCCCCGTGACGCAACTTCCGCCGGGCCAAGGCGGGGGCGGGAGCTGGGGAGCATGCGCGTCGTTCCTCGGCAACTGCTTCCGGTCTGCTAGCCACAGCGCTGCTAGAGGCTCTTTTTGATTGGCTGAGGAGCCGGAAGTGGGGGCGTCTCCTAGAAGAAAGAGTTCGGCTTCGGCTCGGCTTCGGCTCGGCTTCGGGGCCTGTTGTGCTTGGCCGCTGTCGGCTCTGGTTTCTCTTTCTCCTTCCTGAGCTGGGCTTCGGCCTCGCTGGGTTCCCTCCCTCACGAGAGGCTCGCTGTCAGGCCTCGGGCCCTCTTTCCGCAGAGAAACGCCAGGGGAGGAAGGCGCAGGCGGGCAGCGGAGAGCTCGGGGCCGTCCTGGGACCCGCGAAGGGAGGTCGCCCCCCAGGAGGGCAGCCGCCCGGGCTCTCTCGGTGCCGGGGTCCCTCCCAGACTCTGACCTCCGCGGACTGTGGACTGTCAGGACCCGGGAGAAGGCCCCCCAGCCCCGCTAGGCTGGCCGAGAACCCCGAGGCTTCGGTTAGAAGCAGCAGGAGGGCGTGTCCACGTCCCCGGGGCCCAGGGGCTATCGGGCTGGGCTGGAGTCAGGAAGACCCCCCCTCCAAATGCAAGACCCTTAAGTGACGGAGAGAATGCTGCTGAACCTCTTTGGCAGAGGGAGCCAGACCAGTGAAAAACCAGGGCCCAGTCCTCCATGCATGTCCTGCTCTGCTCATAATTAGGAACTTAATAAAGCATCCACCCAAACAGTGAGATGAAGGCCAGATATTGTGCCATCTCCCAGCTCTGAACGTATTCACCAGCCGTCCCCCGCTGCGACCAGAAGACTGATTAGAAGGCTGCTGTAATAGTCCGTAGGAGAGGATATAAGAGCTTGAGGGGGTTGGAGGGGAGGAAAGAGGAGGTGGGAGGAGAAAACGCCACAGAGAGATGTGGAGGCAGAAGGGACAAGGCATGGCACCGGACTGGAGATAGAGATGTGTGGTGAGGGTGAAGAGGCCAGCAGAGCACTGGAGTGGAGAAGGGGGTGACTGGGAGGATAGTGCAGCAGCAGTAAGGAAGTTTAGAAGAGGGATGCGTTGGGGGGTGGTAGATAATGTAGTGAAATTTTCCATAAGTCACAACCCACCCATGCTTACTCATGACCAAGTAGGCTGCCTGCTGAAGGATGAGATCTTCAGGGGAGAAGTGGGTAAGCTGAGAGGACACAAAGTTTTCCTAGTGTCTGTGGAAATGCTCCTGTGAGTGCCCAGGTAGCCTTAGATTTTAACTCTCTTGAAGGGTCGACACCTGGCTGAGGAGGGAGGATGGTGGGGAAAGTCTGGAGTTTACACAGTGTTGAGAGATAAGAATAGCTCTAGTTACCTGTGAGACAAGCCCCACAATTAGTAATGTCAAGGAAGGAGGAGATACTTCTTGGGGGTCAGACCACAGTCCATACTTTGGACACCACTGCCTTGCAATATTCACTGCAGCCCCTAGTTTAGAAGACAGGCTAGCCTATTCAGAGCCAAATGAGCCTCCAACCTCAGTCTGCCCCCATCAGCATCTTCCTTTAAGCCCAAAGTAAAAAACTCCCAAATAACTGAAAAAACACTCCCGTCCCCAATGGGACACCTAGCTTCCACATTCCTTCAATACTCTGACCCTCAGACTAGTCATCCTGATTGAGTGACTCCCAATTCATGGCTGAAGGACAATTTTCCTCCTAGTTTCCATCTGTCCACCCCCAACTCTACAGGCTGCCAACTGATCCCCCATGAAGTATGTAGCTAATAATAGCTTCAGGTGTGACTCCCTCATAGGTAGGACAGGCTTTAAAATGGTGGGGGAGGGTATCAGGAGGAAGATTTTGGACAATGGGAAAACCTTCAGTACCCAAATCAAAGTATTGCTCATGGAGGGAATTTTAGGCTGTTTAGAAAAGATTTGGGGGAAAATGTATGACAGAATGAATGAAGAAATTTTGTAAAAGCATGTATGCAGCACTTCTGTGCTAAGAACTGTCAGAATCCTGGGTATAACAAATGTGAAAGCAAGATAATCCCTATCCTCCAAGAGTTGATAGTCTGATGGGGGAGACAACCCAAGTAGGGGATGAACTATTGTGATTTGGAAAGTCCCAGGGAAAGGGAGTAGAGCCACGGGCAGCTGGTTGACAAGCCCTTCCCAGTAATGGCAGTATCGATTTGATTATGGTTCTAAACTAGAAAGGGGGAAGGAGAGGCATTAGGGTTAAGGTACATAATTGGTGGCATAGCCATGGTATGGCTGGAGCAGAATGAGAAGCATGGCTAGGTTCAGTTCAATATGGTGGACCATGGATGGATCTCACTAATCAAGGCAGCACTGGCCCTAGGGTCAGACTTTCAGAGCTGAGAAGATTCAGTCCCCCAGGACATGGATGTCTGGACATACAGAGGGTGGAGCAGTTTGCATGGAGTGTGGTAAGAAGATAGCTAAGCAGCCTAAATAGAGAGAGATGGGTGGCCATGGACCCCATAGGGAGTTAGTAGCCGGGCTAAGACCCACGATTCCTTTTTTATGATAATCCTGCCAGGTGAGGAAGAGGAAGGCAGGACAAGGGCTCCTTGAGCCAGGAGTTAGCTAGTGGCCTTGGAAGGGAGAAACACAGAGGAATCTTGATTACTATTTCCTTGTCTTCCCTCACCCTTAACCACAAACTTCTCCCTCGCCAGGCTGATGCAGATTCCAACTAGACAGGGAACCAGTGGCTTCAGCTTCCATCATTTTTGATTCAGGCTGTACCAGTAGTGCTCGGCTGAGCACAAAATGACTGTTCTCTGGGATATGAAAGGCAGGAAGGTGGAGGCCCAGCAGATCCTCTCCTCTCTGTCTCTCTTTGTCCTTCCCTCTCTTCCTTCCTCTGCCCCTTCCCTTCTGCACTTCCCCAGAGGAAGTCTCTTCAAGTGCAGAGGAACAGGAAAGCCAAGGATCTTGCTCCTGGGTCTACCTTCCTCATTAAGTACTTACACTGATCTATTTCCTTTGTCTAAGCTTCCTGGAGGGCAGAAGATCAGGAATATCTGCTGCTAACAGAGGCCAGTCAGGGGTTTACCATCCAACTGTGCCCAAGCCCCATTCCTGCAGCGGCCCATGGTCCCCATCCCTACCCCCAGCATTCCAAGGGCTGGTTGGGGAACTCAGAGCATACTCCCTTTGGGGAGCAGGAGTGGAAAAACTACAAAGGTGGCTCGGCTCCACTCAGTGCACCTGCCACTGGCCACCCATGCCTTTCTCAACCCTCCCCCCAACCCCACTACCATAGAATCTATGGCAACAGGTGGCCTCTGGGATCTGGAGTGGCTCTAGAGGCCACAAGGGGTGGGAGTGGGGCCTGGGAGGACAAGGCTGCTAGGGAGGGAGGATCAATGTCTGGGGCAGGGAGAAGGAAGAGGCTCTTAGGTGAGGAGAGAATCAGGTATGAGCTTAGGCCCGAGAACAGGAACTACTTGGAGGAACTGAAGACATTGGGGCCATCGAGTCTGAGATTGTGTTCCACAGGTGGATTTTCCTAATTTGTGGAGGAAGTTTTAGAGAATACACCCCCACTGGGAAGAGAGACAGCTGGGATGGGGAAGAAGGAGGTCACCTAGGATGAGGGAAGGGGAAGGGTCTGGAGGGACCAGGAACAGCTGCTCTTGGTACCCAGGCAGCCAAGCAGGCCCAGGGGCTAAGGTCAGTGAGGAAGGAGGGAAGTTCAGTGGAAGAACCCCAAAATTTCCCCTCAAAGCTGTGAGTTATAGGGACCTGAGCCAAGTCTACTTGCTACCTGAGTGACTTGGGCTGGTCCCTTCACCTCTCTGGGCCTCACTCTCATCTGTCAAATGAGTGTTGGACTAATTGACATCTGAGATCAGATCTATTTTAATTTAATATTTGATTTTTCCCCAGTTACATATGAAAAACAATTTTTAACATCCATTTAAAAACAATTTTGAGTTCCAAATTCTCTCCATTCCTCCCTCTCACTGAGAAGGGAAACGTTATATAGGTTATGCTTGTGCAGTCATTGAGGTCAATCAGTGGGAGCTAGGTGGCGCAGTGGATAAAGCCAGTGGCCTTGGAGTCAAAAAGAGGAGTTTGAAATCAGCCTCAGACACCAGCTGTGTGACCCTAAGCAAAGGACTTCAGTATCTGCCTCAGATGATCCTCATCTGTAAAATGGAAGTTAATTATTATCACTTACTAAATTACTGTTAAATAGCATCTACCTCCCTAAGATAGTATAAAGTTCTTTGCAAACCTTGAAATGCCGTATAGATGCCGTCATCATCTGTGACCCTTGGGATTAAATGCAGACATTTCGGGGATCAGAAGGGTGGATGCCCCAGAGCCAGATTTTCCATTGCATACCCAGAATGGAAGGGAGTTATTTAGGCCTTGAATCTCTCCAGCAAAAGCTCTGAGCGTGGGGAGACAGGAGCTCAGAGCCTGGCCATCTCAAAGGACAAACGGCCGCTGGAGACTATTCCTCTTCTTGACAGAGTGGGCACTGGGTGCCAGCGTGGATACACACAGCTGTGGCAGCACCTCAAGAATAAGAAGAAGAATCTCTGAGGGGTGGAAAGTGAGAAAGGAGGTTGTGCATGAAGACACCAACCCCCTCAGCCCCTCGCTGAGCAACCTTATCTTTGTCTGAGTAGCCTGCAGACACAGGTAGATCAGGTCTGATTCTCGTGCATGTGCTCTATGCCAGTCAGAGCCCCCAGAGACAGCTCCTGCAGGGTTCAGTCCTCTCCTGTCCTCCAAATCCTTCCACTGTTTTTCTCTGCATCTCAGAAAATGTTAGATTGTAAGCTCCTTAAGGGGAGGGACTGTCTTCTGCCTTTTTTTGTATCCCCAGTGTTTAACACAGTGTCTGGCATATAGGAAGTACTTAATAAATGTTTATTGAATGAAAGGAACCATGCTGTGGCTTCCAGGAGCCTAAGATGAGATACACCACAAAGAAGGAAGGGGCAGTGTGAATAAGAAGGGGTATCTGAGCCCTTCAGGGTGCTTTTATTGTGTTTCTGCAGTCATGGGACGTCTGTGCTCGGGATTATGAAAGCTGCACCTTAGCACGCTAAGGGCACTCACTGAGCACTGGGTGGAGTTTGCAAAGAGGCAGCCTCAGGAAAACCTCGCTGACAATGAGAGGCAGCAGCCCCAAAGGCAAATGGGCTGCCCGGAAGATGGTGCGACCCAAGAACGTTTAGTGGAGGCTGGACGGACGGACGGTTGTCTCCTCTGCTGTGGGGTGGCCATGGCTCTGGACCGGAGTCAGGAAGACCTGGCTTCAGCTTCCAACTCAGACACTTCCTAGTGCGTGACCCTACGTGAGCCACTTCGCCTTTCTCAGCCTCAGTTTCCTCATCTGTAAAATGAGGATAAGAATAGCACCTACCTCCAAGGACTTTTGTGAGGATCAAAGAAGTTAACATACACAGCCAATTCTCCCGGAACGTCGGAGGACCTTTTGGCAGACGTGCCCCTCCCCTCGAGGGGCTGCGTATGGCCCCACCCCCTCCTCGGCTCTCCCCACTCCCACCGTAGCCCGGGGGGCTTCAGTGCCTGGAGTCGGGCTGCCCTGCTCGGACGCTGCTAGCCAGCCGGTGCCCACCTGCTGCTGGGAGCCAGACAGCTCTCTCTTTACTAAATTCGCATTTCACAAATTTGACTCCCCAGCAGGCGGTGGCAGGACCCCGGAGCCTGGCTGGGCTCCAGCTTAGACTCAAGCTCTGGCTCCCAGCAGGCTGGGGCCGTGGCAGCAGCATGGGTGCAGCCTAGGTTCCAGGGCTCCTCCCCTCCAGGCTCTGAAGGCACCCATGATGCCAGGCTGCAGAGCCACAGATGGGGCGGGGCCACGGGGCGAGGTCTGCTGAACCATCCACTTACTTTAAGCTAGAACGGGCTGTAAAACCTTTTGCAAATTAAATATAGGTGGAGTCTTATTCTCGCATGAACCCGATTTGGTAGTCGCTGAGGTCTTTCTTTTCCTGGGCTTTGCCCCAGGCTGCTGCATTTAGAAGGCACATAGGGACCTTCAACAAGAAATAAGCGTTCATGCTTGATATCTAGTTAGCAAGAATTATTAAACTAAGAAGTTGCTGGTCAACGGGTATTTATAAAATACCTACTATGTGCCCAGTGAGGTAGCTGGCTAGCTCAATGGATAGAGCACTGGAGTCAGGAAGACCTGAGTTCAAATCCAACCTCACACACTTACCAGCTGTATGATCCTAGACACTTAACCTCCGTTCGTCTTAATTCACCGGAGAAGGAAATGACAAACCACCCTAGTGTCTTTACCAAGAAACCCCATAGTTACTATTGGCGTGATATGGTCCACGGGGTCACAAATAGACACTACTGAACAGCAACCATGTGCCCAGTACTGTGCTACATGTCCTTCCTCTTTGGCAGGGACTCTCTGCTTCCTCACCTCCACCTCTGCCTTCCTTTAAGTACCAGCTAAAACCTCACTTCTACAAGAACCCCATCCCTTAATTTAGCACCTTCTCTCTATTGGTCATTTCTGACTTATTCCGTATATACCTTAGCTATTCACAGGGCTTTGTTTATTGCCTCTCCCTGTTAGAATATAAGTTCCTTGAAGGCAGGTACTGTCTTTTGCCTTTCTTTGATCTTCAGCATTTAGGACAGTGCCTGGCACACCATAGACGTTTAATAAATGCTTGTTGACTTGGCATGCCTTGCCTTAAATGTATAGTGTTGGAAAATCTTTAAGCCAAGAGGAAACAGTAAAAGGTCGCTGTCATTCTCATGATCATATTTTAGTAAATGCCATTCTGGTCTGATTGTCTTTACTGCCTGCTGGTGTGGACTTTTGAGCTGTACTTTTTGGGATTCAGGCCTACAAGTTTCCATAGAACCCTGGAGCAACAGCTGCCCTATAACTTACTTGTCCAAGGTGGTTCAGATAGCACACGGCACAGCTGAGTCAGATTCTGACTCCAAACCCCAGTGTTCCTTCTAAAGCATCACTCTCTGCTTCTCAACAGTGACCGTAACAGAGAAGAATTTCATAGGACTTCACCTGCCACCGTCTTTTCTCTGGGTGTTCCAGGAAGACTAGCACCTTTGGTCCGAGGGCTGCCGAGCCCTTTTCAGGGCTGCTCACCCATCTTTGGTGCCCACCTGGCACTCAACTCTCACCTGTGGCTCCAGGAAGCTTTTGCATTCTTGGCAGCCACAACCTGGTAAACCATCTGGGTAAGTGGGCTAAACTAGGTTGAGGGTAAGCAATGGTCCTCAAACCTGATGGTGAGTTAGGGGGATGCCTACCCCAAGCATGTGAAGACTTCCCCTGGTGGGATGGGCAGATGAGAACAATTTGTTCTAACGGCCACAAAGGTGGCAGAGCAGGCTCTGTGGAGCTCTTGGAGCTTGGTTGTCTGACCAAAGAGGCCAAGGTTATCCCAGCATCCTGGGCTATCAGCAGTCATCCTGACTTTTGTCCTGCCACTGGACTTCAGTGACTCTGGAAGAGAGAGTGAGACTGACTACTTTGTGCAGCTCTGCCTCCCTTCAATCCAATTGACCCGAAAGTCAAGACATCGGCCTGGGTTGTCATTGGTCCTCTTCAAAAATGAAGAATGAATAACAACCTCAAAACGCTGAGGGGAAGTCTTAGCACAGTAAAAATCCCCCAGGTCTGTGTTACAAGCAGGCCTGACTCAGGCTGGCCCTCCTGTTAACTCAGCTTCAATGCTGGAATGAACTGAAAACCCTCATAGGTCATCTCACAGTTAACAAAAGGCACTCTCCAGAACTTAAGCTGCGTAGACACACCCAACCTTGTCTCCATAGGAAAAATAGGTCTGGTCAGCAGGACAGGAGGGAGAGGCTCAAATGGTCCTGGGACATCTGCCAAGTCTGAAGGGCCCAGACTCCACATGGATGGTCCTTTCTAATGCCCTTAGGTGACCATGTGTCACCATGATCAGGGGCTACCAGGAAACTGGGAGGCATAGCTTGTGACTCAGTCTTTGGCCTTTCCCAGAAAAACTGGTCTAACTGGTAGGAAAGGAGTGATCAGGGAGGTGACAGTCCTATCACATACCTCTCCCTGCTGAGGTGTAAAGGATCTGCCAATGCTTTTAATGCTTTGAAGACTTTTACTTGGTCAGTTATTTCAGTCATGTCTGACTCCTCCAGACCCCATCTGGGATTTTCTTGGCAAAGATAGTGGAGTAGTTTGCCATTTCCTTCTCTAGCTTATTTTACAGATGAGGAAACTGAGGCAATAAAATACTCGGGGGTCTACCTGCCAAGACCAAGCCAGGAACTGTATGAACACAATTACAAAACACTTGTCACGCAAATAAAGGCAGATCTAAATAACTGGGG